TCCAGTCTGGCTTTCGTCCTGGCCACAGTACAGAAACTGCACTCATAAAAATCACCAATGACCTCCTCACTGCTGCCGATACTGGACTGCTCTCCATTCTCATCCTCCTCGACTTGAGTTCAGCCTTTGATACCATCTCTCACACCATCCTCCTCCATAGATTGTCTTCCCTTGGCATTTCTCATACCCCGCTTGATTGGTTCCGTTCATATCTCTCTGGTCGTACTCAGTTTATTCAACTCAAATCCTTCACTTCCCGTCCCTTCCCTGTCACTACTGGCGTCCCCCAAGGCTCTGTTCTCGGTCCACTCCTTTTCATCACTTACCTTCTTCCCCTGGGAAATATTTTCCGTAAATTTGACATCCATTTTCATTGTTACGCGGATGACACCCAGCTCTATGTATCCTCCAAACCCTCCTCTTCACTTCCTCCTTCCTCCCTCACCAATTGTTTATCTGAAATCAAAGACTGGTTCACATCAAACTTTCTCAAACTCAACAGTGATAAAACAGAAATGTTACTTGTCGGCACTAAATCTTTTCTATCCAAAATCCACAGCTTTACACTTCCCGTCGACAACTCCTTAGTTTCCCCCTCCCCTCAGGTCAAGAGTCTGGGTGTCATCCTCGACTCCTCACTATCCTTCCAGTCCCACATAAACAATATTACCCGGTCTGCCTACTTCCATCTACGTAACATTAACCGCCTACGCCCCTCCCTCACTACTCACTCGGTCGCCATTCTTGTCCACAGCCTCATCACTTCCCGTATTGACTACTGCAACGCTCTTCTCTTTGGTCTTCCTCACAAATCCCTCCATAAACTCCAACTTCTCCAGAACTCGGCAGCCCGCATCATTTCCAGAACTCCCTCCTTCCACCACATCACACCTGTTCTTCAGCAGCTCCACTGGCTCCCTGTCACTTCCAGAATCCAATTCAAAATTCTGCTATATACATTCAAAGCCATCCATAACCTAGCTCCACCGTACCTCTCAGACCTCCTTCATCCTTCAACCTCCACCCGTTCCCTCAGGTCCTCCTCCTCCATCCACCTCTCAGTCCCACCTTTCCGTCTGGTCACTATGGGGAGCAGGGCCTTCAGCCGCTCTGCTCCCCAGCTCTGGAACTCACTTCCTCCTGACCTCCGTAACATTGATTCCCTCACTCTCTTTAAAACCAGACTCAAAACTCACCTGTTCCGTCTGGCATTCCAATAATTACTCTCTTTGCTCCAATCTGTCTGTTTGTTTTATGCTGTTTTATCTTTTATTGTTGTGTATTTTATCTCTGTAAAGTGTCCTTGAGTGTTCAGAAAGGCGCTGTTGAAATAAAATGTATTATTATTATTAATTTATCCTGTGGTATGTCACAAGACATCAAGACACTTTGCAACGACTTTGCAAACTGCATCAGATGCAAAATAGTTCTGCCAGATTCCAGCAGTCACCTGGAAGGTATTTCAGACCAGAGGTTCAGATTTGGGGTAGACCTACGTGCAGTGTTGGGAGTAACGTGGTACAAAAGTAATTAACTACTGTAATGCATTGCTTTTTGCTGTGATATGGTAATGTAAGGCATTACAGGGAAAGAAAATGGTAATATTTACTCGGTACAATTGTCAGTTCCGCGGTAATTACAACGCACTTTTAAACCCAGAATCAAGATGCGGGTTTCCTAAAAATTCAAATTTCGGGAAGCCTGAAAAAAGATCCAGTATCTACATATATGACGTCATTTATGGACTCAGCTTTGCGGGCATTCTATGAGCAGAAAGGACGCAGCGGTAATGGCTCAAATACTCCAGCTGCGTCCGGCGCGCGGCCGCTGTTATATTCACAAAACCGCTCCACCAAAACAAAGCAATTCGTTTGCGATCGTTTATATCTGCCCATATTCTCTGGTACTTCATGTAATTTTCAGCTGAGTTCATAATCTGTGCGCCAGTGATTTCAACTCATTGCTGCTGGAGCGCAACACAAAGCTTTTTTAGTTTTTTTTTTTTTTTTTTGCGTTCGGTAGATCCCTTTGGCTGCTTAGTTAGAAAGTAGGAAATCTAGGAAACAGTTTTTCTGGAAGACGGAGAAAACATGCAGCATGCAGGAAGGTTAGAGAGAGAAAGGGCAGGAAGTTATTCACATAAAATCAAGAAAACAAAACAAAGTGCTTGAAAAGAAAAAAGTAGGTAGATTTATCCCCAATACACATTTTTACCAGTGAAAAGCAATAATATATAAGCATTTAATATTTATATGTGTGATAGAATCAGATCACCCCAGAAGTCAGTCCCACATCCAGGGCCGTATCAAGGCATTTGGGGATCAAAGCAAATATAGGCTTGGAGCTCCCACCACCTCACTCCCTGCTCAGTTAATATAAGATGGCAGCGTGCTGAGAGCACAGCTTGTTGTTACTTTCATTTAATAAACAATCATTTTAAAGCATTGTTATTATATCTGACTGTTTTTAACAGCAATCCTAGCTCAGACACCACATCACTTTCCACATACATGTCATAACCTCACTGAGCGTCAGATTACCAGATTCATATTGAAGTTGTTTTGGTGAAAGTTACTTCAAGTAATGCAAAAGTAGTGTAATGCCTTACATTTTAAAATCAGTCATATTGTAATGTAATTAATTACTTTAAAATGAGGGTAACAAGTAATAAATAATGCATTACAGTTTTGAAGTAACTTGCCCAACACTGCCTACGTGCTCCAAATACTCAGAAGTCCAACTCCACCAGCAGTCTGTTTGTACTGACTTCTCCGACCCCCTGGATCGCACAGTGACCTTCACCACAAGGGTTTTTAGACTTGCACACTGGCGTGGGATGGTCTATGAATAACTGATATGTTAAACCATACAGTCAGACTGATTTTACAACCCAGACATCACATGTTTCTAAGATGCTTAATCAGGTTTTGTTACGTAACATCTAAGCTTACATTGCATCATCATTATCATATTTCTGATTTTCATTGATCATCAGCTGCCTGAGTTCAAAAGTGACTAGTCTCTCCTCTGCAAAGCTTTGAAGGAGGAATTCTCAGGTACAGCAACAACAGCACGTTTAAAACTAGCCAATTTCAAACCGTTTCCCTCAAATAATCCACACTGTGTTCTACTTCCGCCTTTTTCGTGTATTCTTTGGTCATCAAAATGAACCAGGTATGGTAGAAAATGGCGACCTTAAAAACGTTTTCTTGAAAATCTGCATTCTTCCATAAGCATGCAAATGAGCACCCTTAATACTGAAAAAACTACCATGATACAACTCAGAGCAATGGCAGGTAATGTTTTCAGAAAGACTACTCAGTGCGTTGCTGACTCAGAGTCCTCTGTAGGTCAGACTTCCCAAGCCAACACCTCTCTTTTGGTCCCACCTGACACCGAGCCTCAAGACGCTCTGACATGAGCATCTCCAAAGTCACAGTCCAGGAAGCAGTATCTGGGGTTGAAGTATCCAAAATCTTCTTGGTCCAAACACTCCCCCTCTGCTAAAGATTCAGTGAGTACTAAAAGTAGCCCAGGTTCAGAACGTTGGTGCTCATGGATGGAGTCCCATTGTCCCACTCTGGTTACTGCCACCCTCGCCCTTACCATTATTCACTATGCCGCAACCATGCTGACCACAGCCCTGCTGCTTCAAAGTCAAGAGCTGGGTCTGGTAGCAGGCCTCCTGATGACCTGAGCTCTGTCCTGAAATCTGTCCTTTCTGACCTGGTAAGCGCTTCACGAAAGGCTAAAAAGGTTATACTCGTTTCTGCTACAGACCAGGGTGCACATCTTCCTGCACATGTAGTGCCTGTGCATGACTCTCATAACGACAAGTCCTCCGTCAGTTGGACTTGCCCCAACGGTATGTCCCGTGACACCCATGACTCCAGTTGTGTCTGGTGAGGTTGCATCCATCAGTTCTGGTCTTCGACCATCCTCTTCATCTGTCAGCGGGACAAGTCACCCTTTCCCACTGGACAAACCTGAGAAACTTAAACTTCTATGAAGTATTATCCGCAAGGGTCCCAAACAGAAACTTCACATCCCAGTGACCCTTGAGGGGTCGCTAACCTGTGATCCTATCTTAGACACTGGGTCAGATGTTTCTATCATGTCTCTGTAACTTTGGGGAAGCCTTCACTTGGCTGTGGTTGACCAGGGTTGTATCTTGACACTCACACCCTGCGCCGTAGACATCAGTCCTTACGCTCCAGTTCCAATGACCTTGTCGTCTGTGCCTCTCCTTGGCCTTTCTGTCGGTCGCATGCCGGTGCGTCTAGTCATCATGGGAGTTTGCTGATGTTGATGGCGTCACTAATGTTTATCTGCAGAGGACGATGTTGCCCTCTACTGCTCGCGTCCTTGCTGATGATACTGTCCCATGCATGATCCGATGTGAATACTCCATCATCTCTGTTCATGGTTTTGTATCCACATCTCCTTATTTCTATAGCATTTTGATCCAACTTTGTTGTTCTTTGTTTATGATCCGTGTACTGTCCCAGTCCATTATTTGATTTTCCCTTGGTCTACGGGAGATTATTTTTACTGGACTTTCTGCTTCTTGTTTTGCTGCTCTTTTATGTCTTCGACTTGTTTCTTTCTCGCACTCTCTCTGATGTTCTATTTTTCATGTGTTGAGTTGGCATTGGGAGGACGCAGACAGTAGAGGGCGACATCGTCCTCTGCTGCTCGCAGATAAACAGAAGTGACGCCACCAACACTGGCAAACTTTGATAATGACTAGAGGCATTAATCGAAACATGTAAGGTGAAAAGCTACTTTTTAACTAAACTGTGTAAAAAAAGAAAAAAGTAATAGTTTAAGAAGTTAAACAGAGTGAACGTATGTACAAAAAGAGTAATTTTAGTGTAATTTTGTTGAGGAGAGTATTTCAGTATAATTTTAGTATAGATTCATTACAAGTTTATTTTTTAAGAGATTTTTTTTTTGATCATTTTAGCAAAAACGATTAAGAGCCATTCATGTTCCCTCACCTGTTGGCTTTCCTGACACAATGGAGGAACACTCTGGGTGGCCATCATTGTCATTGCAGGTGCTGGGGGAACATGTTGCATTATGGGATGGTTTCACATTGAGGCTGGGAGAGACAGAAACATGCAAAAACAGGAAAACTTAAATGTTTTGTAAATCAAAAATTATTTGAATATAGCCACTAGGTGCTGCTATATATAAATACAAGTGAATAACATATTCTATCTTTTATATAGAGAACATGAAATCCACTTAACATGCTGTCAGTCTGGTTCTGCAACCAGACCAGACCAGTGATGTAATAATACAGACTAGAGGTGAAATGGCATGCCTAAAATCCACAAACCTTGGTTTAAATTTCACAGTTTGGTTCATTTTTGGTAGAGTGAGGAAACAGAAAGTTAGGCCTACACCTTTAATCACATTGAAATTAAAACATTATTCACAGAAAAATCTTTCATTTTTTTATTTATTTGGTAACACTTCCTTTTACAGTCCCCTAATTACTAAGTGCTTACATGCTAATTACATAGTAAGTTAAAGTGTAATATTGTGTAATTAAAGTGTAAAATTGTAATAAAGTGTAATTATTGTGTAAAGCAGTATTTACTGGGAAGGATTAATAAAAGTAAAAACTAGAATTGAACCTGTGTTACATGACAATAACTGTTTAAGAACTCAGAAACAATTATACACTTTAACTTACTATGTAATTACCATGTAAGTACTTAGTAATTAGGGGACTGTAAAAGGAAGCGTTACCATTTATTTAGTCTTTATTTAACCAGGAAGGTCCCACTGAGATTAAAAACCTCTTTCCCAAGGGAGTCCTGGCCAAGAGGCAGAAAAAGTTACAGTTACAAAGTTACAGTTACACAGACATTTTATGTACTAAGTTACAGAAGGCAGTTACAATACAGGGAATCCGTCTCAAGGGTTAAGGTTAGGGTTATTCAGTCTGGTTTTAAATGTGCTCAAGGAGATAAACTGGGTTAATTTCCAGTTTTCCTGCAGCCTGGTCCATGCAGAAGGAGCAGAGAGAACGAAAGCCCTTTAGCCCAGATCAGTGCGAGCAAACAGAACACAAAGTATCAGCTGATCGTTTGTACACAGACTGTGAGAAGTTACACTTCTCTGTGAGATTAAGTTACAGATGTAGGTGGGTAGTAATCCAAGCATGGCCTTATAAATGAAGGTGTACGAATGTTCCAACCTCCTGGTGGACAAAGAAGGTCATCCCACTGGAGAACACAACTCACCATGATGGGTCAGTGGTCTACAGTTAGTGATAAACCTCAGCGAGGCATGATGAACCACACCAGTCTTACCAAGACACTGGTCTGAGACATTCAAGTACAAAAGGTCTTCATAATCCAGATTAGACAGAAATGTTGTAGTAACTAGTCGTTTTTGTGCCTCAAAGGAAAAACAGTTTATTTAGAAAAAAGAAACCCAGTCTGAGTTTGAGTTTCTTCACAAGATTATCTACATGGGCTTGAAGGAGAGGAAGTCAAGGAGCCAGACACCAAGGTGTTTATATGTGTGGACCACCTCCATGATGCTTCCCTCAAGAGTGGTCACTGAGGGCATCCTTTGAGGTCGTTTTTAGAGTTAGAAAACAACATTAGCTTAGTCTCGTCAGCACTGAGGACCAATTTTAACTGCAGAAGTGTTTGTTGGACCTCATTAACAGCTTTCTGTAAGAATTCAACAGCTTTAGTGGTGGTGGTGGGTGGGTGGGTGGGTGGGGGGGGGGGGGGGGGTCCAAAACAGTAAATTATTGTGTCATCAGGGTGAATGTGCTAATTAGCATCTGACACATTTTGTCCTGTCATTGATAAACATAACAAACAAGAGGGGCCAAAACTGAACCCTCACAACCCATCACATTTAACACACTTGAGTTTTATCCTTCAAGTAGTGAACCACAATGTTCAGACAATCCCAAACAAAGAAGCTTTGGTTTTAAAACAGCATGGTCTAAAGTGTCAAAGGCTTTTGACACATCAATACAAAGTGAAGCACAGTACTGCTTTTTATCCAGAGCAACATGAATGTCATTGATCACCTTTGTAGTTGCAGTGATGGTGCTGTGCTGTTTTCTGAAAGCTGCAGACCTGAGAGAAGGCCATCTGAAAAAAAAAGTTTTTCAGTTGTTCACTTATTAAGTTCTCTATAAGTTTTCCCAGGACACACAGATTAGATATTGGTCGGTAATTTGTTAACAGAGCTGGGTCATCACCTTTTAGTAAAGGAGTCACAAAAGCAGACATGCCCAAAACACGTCCCCAGGGAGGCGTCCAGGAGGCATCCTGATCAGATGCCCAAACCACCTCAACTGACTCCTTTCGATCCGGAGGAGCAGCAGTTCTACTCCGAGTCCCTCCCGAATGTCCAAGCTCCTCACCCAATCTCTAAGGCTGAGCCCGGCCACCCTCTTCACCATGACAGATCGGCTCAGCGTCCGCATCACTGCAGACGCCGAACCAATCTGCCTGTCGATCTCCTGATCCCTCCTACCCTCACTTGTGAACAAGACCCTGAGATACTTAAACTCCTCCACTTGAGGCAGGACCTCTCTCCCGACCCGGAGTTGGCAAGCCACCCTTTCCTGGTCGAGAACCATGGTCCCAGTGCTGATCCTCATCCCAGCCACTTCACACTCGGCCGCGAACCTACCCAGCAAGAGCTGAAGGTCAGAGCTGGAGGAAGCTAGGAGGAACACACAATCTGCAAAAAGCAGAGACAAGATTCTCCTGCCACCAAACTTGACACACTCCACACCACGGCTGCGCCGAGAAATTCTTTCCTTCAAGGTTATGGACAGAACCGGTGACAAGGGGCAGCCCTGGCAGAGTCCAACCCTCACCGGGAACAGGTCCGACTTACTACCGGCTATGCGGACCAAACTCACGCTCCTCTGGTAAAGGGGCTGAATGGCCCTTAACAGAAAGCCACCCACCCCATACTCCTGGAGCGTCCCCCACAGGGTGCCCCTGGGGACACGGTCACAAGCTTTCTCCAAATCCACAAAACACATGTGGATTGGTTGGGCAAACTCCCATGCCCCCTCCATCACCCTTGCAAGGGTATAGAGCTGCTCCACAGTTCCACGGCCAGGACAAAAACCACATTGCTCCTCCTCAATCTGAGATTCAACTATCGATCGGACCCTCCTCTCCAGTACCTTGGAGTAGACTTTTCCAGGGAGGCTGAGGAGTGTGATCCCCCTATAGTTGGAACACACCCTCCGGTCACCCTTCTTAAAGATGGGGACCACCACCCCGGTCTGCCACTCCACAGGAACTGCCCCCGATGACCACGCAATATTGCAGAGACGTGTCAACCACGACAGCCCTACCACATCCATAGCCTTGAGATACCCAGGACGAATCTCATCCACCCCCGGGGCTCCACCGCTGTGTAGTTGTTTGACTACCTCAGCAACTTCTGCCCCAGAGATTGGACAGTCCATCCCCAGGTCTCCTGGCTCTGGCTCCTCCTCGGAATGTGCGTAGGTGGGATTGAGGAGCTGCTAAAAGTATTCCTTCCACCGCCCGACTATAGCCCCAGGTGACGTCAGCAGCTCCCCATCCTCACTGTAAACAGTGTGAGCGAGTTGCTGACTCCCTCTGCTGAGGCGCCGGACAGTTTGCCAGATCCTCTTTGTCGATGTCCCCACTGCTCTCGGGATGCGGTCAAAGCTCTGCCGGAGGTGGGAGTTGAAGACCGTCTTGACATGTTCTTCTGCCAAGCGTTCCAAGCAGACCCTCACTATGCGTTTGGGTCTGCCAGGTCTACGCAGCATCTTCCCCTGCCATCTGATCCAACTCACCACAAGGTGGTGATCATTTGACAGCTCTGCTCCTCTCTTCACTCGGGTTTCCATAACATATGGCCGCAGGTCAGATGATACGACTACAAAGTCTATCATCGACCTGCAACCTAGGCTGTTCTGGTACCAAGTGTACCGATGGGCATCCTTATGTTCGAACATGGTGTTCGTTATGGCCAAACTGCAGCTTGCACAGAAGTCCAATAACGAAACACCAGTCGAGTTCAGATCAGGCGGTCCGTTCCTCCCAACCCCCCCCCCCCCCCCCCCCCCCCCCCCCCCAGGTCATGCTGTCATTGCCCACGTGAGCATTGAAGTCCCCCAGCAGGAATAAGGAGTCCCCTGATGGAGCAGTATCTAGCACAGGGACTCCAAAAAGAGTAGGTAATCTGAACTGATATTTGGCCCATAAGCACAAACAACAGTCAGGACCCGTTCCCCGACCCGAAGGTGCAGGGAAGCTACCCTCTCGTCCCCCGGGGTAAACCCCAACACACAGGCAGAGAGTCTTGGGGCTAACAAAAAGTCAACCCCAGCCCTCCGCCTCTCACCCAGAGCAACTCCTGCAAAGGAGAGTGTCCAACCCCTCTCAAGGACTTGGGTTCCAGAGCCAATGCTATGTGTCGAGGTGAGTCCGACTATTTCTAGCTGGTACCGCTCAACCTCTGCCACAAGCTCCTGCTCCTTCTCCGCCAGCGAGGTGACGTTCCATGTCCCAGTAACCAGTTTCCTTGTCCGGGGATCGGACCGCCAAGGCTCCCGCCTCGGTCTGCCACCCGATGCACACTGCACCGGACCTTGATGTTCCTCCTGCGGGTGGTGGGTCCACAGTTGGATGAGCCCATGCATCCGGTTCAGGCTGGGCCCGGCCAGGCCCCATGGGTGAAAGCCCGGCCACCAGGCGTTCGCTCACGGGCCCCATCCCCAGGCCTGGCTCCAGGGTGGGACCCCGGTAGCCCTCCAGGCCGGGTACTCCGACTCTGTTTGTCTCACCCTTCACCTAAGTCCCATTTGTCATGGGAGACTCTACCAGGGGCACAAAGTGCCCCAGACAACATAGCTCCTAGGATCATTAGGGAACTCAAACTCCTCCACCACGATAAGGTGACGGTTCAAGGAGGAGCACCCCAAAGACCTCTTATGAAAAACAATATAAATAGAAACAGTGTTCCCTCACCCGGACGCATCGTGTTCTCCCCTAAACCAAAACGATTCCATGTTTAACTTCTCTAGCGGCACCATCTGGAAACTAAGTCCAAACAACCTCTCAT